AGAAAAAAGGTCGAACTTCGATTGGGACACGTCACTGCTCTGCACCGATCGGATCTTGAATGGGGACATTGCACAGCATAAAACAGCTCTAGCGAATGTTCACTGAACAATGAGAGAAATGAACATTGCTCAACGGTATTGATCCCGATTGAAACTTTTTTCTCTCTTACTGAACTAAGCAAATTCTGTTGTTAGGTAATGCCGAAAGTCAACGTTATACAAGTGGTTTTCAAAGAAGAAAATATTTGAATTGTCCAAAAGGTTTCAAGGATTAGTTATTCTGAAGGCAAAAAACATCTCGACAATGATGATTCAATCTGGTGAAATTGCAGAAAGATGTTGGCCTTATCTCATATCCAACTATGGTTGTAAATAACCAGATTCCTGTTAGCCTGAAAACTTTGGAAAGTGTACGTGATCTTGCCGCCCTCTTCACTTTTATGGGAAAAGTCATTACCTCTTCCTTTTCTATATTTCTAAGATCTTTAAATCAACATGTAAAGGAGAAGCAACTATTTCAATCGCTTCTTCTCTTGTGAATTTTTCTATCTCTAAATTTAGGTTTGTTTTTCGCAATCATGCAAGCAAAGGACATCCATTTTAATAGTCTTATTCAAAGTTTTTATAATCTGTAAAATACGTACAACTTCCCGCTTTGCAAAAAGTTTTCTTCATGAAACAAGTGAGCAAGCTGAGAGAAAGGGGTGCAAAGTTTTCTTCATGAAACAAGTGAGCAAGCTGAGAGAAAGGGGTGCTTGTGGCGCATGGGGCTGGTAGCTCGTCTTCTAACAAATTAATTTGAGGAAAGCTGATCAAATCGGAAATAAGAAACATATTAAACTTGTATTTTTTCCTTCTTTACAAAAGACGTTTCATATCCGTTTTGTGCATCGGCTGCATCGCTTCTTGCAGCGGTAAATATTTTTCGCCACCTTGTTTATGACCGAAGATAAATAAGAATGCTTCATACTCAAGTTCCTATTGACCGATAGTGATGAATTGCTCAATAACAATCTCTAATTCGAATCGTATGAATTGGTTGAACATGAGCGGCAATGGTGAAATTTTAAGAAGAACGAATGTATGAGATCGAAAGAAGCATGGAATAGACTTAGCATATAGAGCAGAAAGCAAAGATTACGAGGAAAATTTCAAGGCAGCCTGATAATGATAAAGGAAACGTTCAAAAACCGCCTCTTTTAAATATAGATTCAATGCTGAAGGTGAATCAACTTCAAAATCTGAAAAAAAGAAGGGCGACCTCTGCCAAGTAGAATATGAGCAGCTGAATTAAGAAACGCTAAACACTATGTAGCAAGCCTTACAAACAAAAAACACCTAGAGAAGTGAGAGAAACCGGGTTACAGCGCGAGGCAGCCAGAACAGCTCGCGATAGCGCGCTGGCTGTCCCAGCCATCGATGGCCGACATGTAGGCGCTATGCAAATTCAACAAAGAAACAAGCAGTTCCTAACACGAAAATCTACCACTACAGAAAACTCACTAAGGAACAAGAACTAGTAGTGGTAAGCGACCAGTGAGTGGAGTTCACCACTGAAATGTCGTTCGGCTTATCAATATGGAACGAGGCGGAGCGATCGGGCACACTCCGCTGGCTCAGCGCTCTCTATTGCGACACGACACAAACAACTGACAGGAGCGCTCTGCAAAACATCGATTTGGTAAAAATTGTTGTTGCGTTGGCACGTACCGGTGAATAGGGAAAATGCATCGTAAAATATTATGGTTTTGATTTTTGTACGACAAAAAGTGAAATGTCACGTGAGGAAGCCAGTGGCATTTTTCTCGAGTCTGCTACGTAAGTGCTTTTACAAGCATCCTTATAAAGAGATAATAACTTACAAAAATTTCCGAGGGTTAGAGCCAACTTCCACTTTGTGGATTATTCTATGTTTCACAATTTTCTAATTCTAACTTTCATCCAATATTTATTCTAAGTTTATTTTATTTGAATCCATTCAATTCTCATAAATCGTAAATAATGATCCGCTTGTCTAGAGGGATTTTGCTGCTATTTCAGTTTCTCGACCATCGTAATCTCTTCTGGATTTATCTAAACTTGCTCGGGAGGAATTAGTACATTCTATTTACATCATATCCATACATGGTGGCGCCTGTAGAATACATCAAGGGTACGGTAAATATTGAATTCACAAATTCACAATGATGTAGTTGATATGTCAGAAAAAGGACTTTCAAGGTAGTATTTCGATGACAATGCGTATCGTTCAAAATGGCGAGTGTCGTCA